GTGAAAAACTTTTTTTTCTTGATGTGTTTCACCCACACTAGAGAGACTTCCTCAAGTAGACAAGTAAGCAAAACAGTTTTCCACTTAGATTTACCAAACTTTTGTTTGGATTCTATGTTCAGCTGATGCACACAAAAGCATGTGCATATCTAGAATCAACAAATGGCTGTAAAAACTCAATGAAAAAAAAATCTTATTTAGAATTCTACATGGGAAAAATGATTTCATTTGTCGTAGCAGGTGGTAAGCCAACTTGTTTCATTTGACAGCAGTTAGAATGGGGGAGGTAGGAATCTAGAGACAGTTTGCAACAATGCAAGGCAATTTTAACAAAAATCTTCCAGTAGGCAGCAAATAAAAAGCGAATACTTTTAAAAATAAATTTAGTACTGATAGAATTTGCAAGTATTGACCAGAAATGACAGTCACAATGAAGCATCCAACTGGAATTTGACAAAAATCAAAAACTGCTTTCTGATAGGGAAACTATTAAATTTTAACATTAATGAGCATTAATTGTGCTTAGAATCAGATGAGGTTCCCTCATCTCATAGACAGCATAACCAATGATATGGATTTGATATGAAGAAGAAATAGCATTGCTGTCACTAAGAAATACAATACATGGTGAAAATACCTAATGCAGCATTGAAAGAATAAAAAAGAAGCTGGCAATATTTACAACAGATAGTGAGGGGGACAATAGAACTGTGATCCTGTAATCAGATGACAAATTCCCAGATTTTCACCGATGTCATTACCTTATTTACTGGCAATCTCTCTGCTCAAAACTTGAAAGATGATAAACTTGCATGTGTTATGGAAATAGTTGTTAAGATGGTGAACTTTGCCAAAAGATTTTCTTTCTACCACAGTTTTAAGATGTGACAATTTAAGATGTGACTTGATAAATATAAGACCAATTCATATAGGGACAGTCATACTCATTGTTTAAGCAATGGCAAGAGACTGAAGAGAAAATTGGAGTTAATTTCCAAAGACAAACAATTTAAAAAAAAAAAAAAAAAAAAAAGACGGTTGATTTATTATTCAACTGTGAAAATTTGTTTTCTATTGTTAAACTAGTAATTTTATCTCCCATTGCACATCTCAATATTCTGAAATTTAAATTATCAAGTCCCTAACAAATATTGCAGACTTTATCAAATTAAATTTTTGCTTGAAATAAAGCTGGATTTATTCACTAGACAAGTGAATCAAATAAATTCCTTGGAATCCCCAGCACCAGCCCAAACTTCAAAATTAAGAATGGATCAAGGAAGAACAATTTTATATACAAGTAGAAAAATTTTAAAACAAACATTTTGTCTTGCAGTTATCTGCTACATAATCAGTTTTGCAATTTTGTAAAAATCCATTTAATTTCTGTGATCTTTCAGCAGCTGCAATTCAGCTGGAAATAATAAACTTGAGGAAACACAAGCAAACATTTTTTTAGATTAAATGTTTTTCCTATATTGACATTGGGGGGAGGGATTGTTTTATAATAGAATAATCTTTACAAAAAAAAAAAAAAGAAAAAACTAATTCATTAATGAATAAGTACTAAGTTTGTTTTTTTTTTTTAAATTAAAATCAGATAATTCTGACTTTTGGTAATCTATTTTTAAATTTGTGGGTTGGAGATGTCATAAATGTTTTGACATTAATAGCAAAAAGGAAAGGTAAATTAATGAGCAATAACTTTAGCAATTTTTTAATCTTATATTTCTTTTAATAAATTTTCATATGAAAGTAATTTAGTGCAATGAAATATTTTAAGCAAAAAGTAACAATTTAATGTTACTAAACCTAGTTAACTGACACCAAAGTTTAGTATTTTTCCTTGAAGCAAATGTCTTGAACAGATATTGACCGCGTTTGAATTTCTTGTTGGAATTCCTCAAATTAGCAGTTCATGCAGAGAAGTGATTTAGTTTTTAGTTGTTTTAAAAATGCCTAAAATCTTAAACATGTAAAACCTTTTTACCAGATTAAATTTCAAATGACAACAAAATGTAACTTGAATTATTGAGAATGCATTTTTTAGCTCCTTAAAAAAAAATTGCAGATATCTATCTCTCTCTCTATATATATATATATATATATATATATATATATATATATTATATAAAATTACACAACAAATCTATCCCCCTATATGAGGTAATTTTGTATTTTGTTATGTAATAATATTTATTGGTGTTCTATTATACTAAATACATTGAGCTCTTTTTGTGGATCAAAAACAAGTTACATTAATTAATAAAAAATGTATCCAATTCTGAACTTAAGATAAATATGAACTGCAAACATGCTTTATTGAACGTGCTTAAAAAAATAGGTCAAAGCCAATGACAGCAAAAGTCAAGGATTGATTTCACACTGTATTGATATTATAAACAGGGCTCACCTTCTAGATCAATAACAAATCAATATTTTCCAATTCTGACAAGTGTCGCTGTATCAGAAATACTAATTTACTAATTTACAAAAATTATTAAAAAAATTACCCAAATTTCATGAATCTAAGTAGTGACATCATTTCAAATTTGCTTCATAAATGTCTTAGTCTCTTCAGCAAAAGTTCAAGTAAATGAGTTTATCATTTTTTTTTAAAAAGTGAACTGTTACATAATATTATTCCTCCTAGGCAGTGAATGCTGCACAATCTCCTCACAGATGAAGAAACTTGAAGCAACAGAAATGTGGTTCCACAGAAGGATGCTGAGAATACCATAGACTAAACATGTGAGCAACGGCAACGTGTTGGAGAAAATGGAAACAAAAAGGACATATACTTAACAAAAAACACAAACATTTAAAATCGCTAGGGCACGTAATGAGGAAAGAGGACTTGGTAAATTTGATACTCAAGTGTTTTCTTCTGTAACTCTTGCCTTTAATAGGCAAGAGGGACAGAAGAAAACAATGCATAACCTACCTAGATAGCTTGAGTAAATGGATGGCAGAACAGCGGTTAGGAGAGATAACAAAAGAGAAAATTTTTATTTAAGAGCTACTTTAAAAGGACAGGAAATTGCAGTGAGGCATGATCGCCAACGTCCTGAAGTGACACTGCAAGAAGGGGACGAAGTTTTTTTTTCGAAATTCAAACCAGTAAGATAATTTTTATATGCATCAAGACAGGAAATCGGCAGATGAAAGCGCGAGGTAGATATTTTGATTCTGAACAAGTTTGAAAACAGACAAGCAGGATCCCAAAACAATGTAGGAATCCATTTTTAGATTTTTGTATCGCCGTTTGTTTTCTGTGGTAACCATGAGCGAAGAGTTAAAAGAAATTAAAAAAAAATAAAATAAAATTATTCCGAAGTTTTAAAATACTTTTATTTTTAGCAACAATTTTGGAATTTTATTCGAGAATACTTTGTAAATTTTTACTATTACACCCGACTGCCTTATCGGTCAAATACACAGGATCACAATTCGGCCCTCACTTCACCGTCATTGGCCAATTGACTACTTAAAGAGCATAAAAATAAGTTAGGGATGAGACGAATGTCTCTATTATTACCTAATATTGGGTAATATTACTAATATTATATTAGTGATTAAAAAAAATAAATAAAAATGAACTAATAAATTCATATCCCTGGCCTAAAAAAAAAAAGTTCCAATATTACTAGGAATTTAAAGAATTTTTTTTTTTTTACGCAGATGTTAGTTTCAAAATCGCATTTCATTTAAATCTCAAAATCAAAAATTGTTTTATTTTTAAAAATGATTTAGTATCTGATTCTTTTAGATAAAAATAAAATTCAAGTTAAATTTTTAAGACATCTTTACTTTTAAAACAAAAAAAAAAAAAAAAAGAGGGAATAAAAATATTTCACAAAAAAAAAAAAAAAAATACAATTATCATTCAATGTGACATGGAGAATTAACAAAAAACAATCATAAAAAGTAGGTTAATTTTTAAGAAGCCACCAAAAAAGATTGATTCCACACACATTGAAAGTAAAAAACAAAAACAAACCCTGAAGAGAAGAGTAAAAAAGATATGTCAGCAAACAAAAACAGAAAAAATATTAAATGATTAAATTTAAATTATCTCTTAAAAAAGATAAAATAAAGTACTTTTTTTTTAAGATAGTGGGTGTGTATTATTTTGTATATATTTTTTAAAATAACAATTCTTATCGATTGTCGTGAAAGATTTCTATTTCGTTATTACGTCATGGATAAATTTAACCCTATATTTCTAACTCGATTTTTAAAGTCAATAAAGAAATAAGATACCATCAACATATCTATGATTTTTAAGCATTACCTATAAGTGTTTTTTTCTTCTTTAAACCATGACTCATATTAAAAATATGCCATGCAGCTGGGATTAAAAGAAATTGACCTCACATTTTTTTTCATAAGATATATATATATATATATAAGCTTACAAGTTATTTGAGTAAACAATCAGCTCCTTTTTAGATTCATTGAGCATACGAGGAAAAAGGGATGAATTTTCAGCAGTTTTATGAAAAGTTGTCCTTTTTTTTTAAGACATTGAAGTTTTTATTTATATATATATATTTTTTGCTCTGCCTTTTAAATGCTGTCAGTAGTTTTAAAAAAATTATCATTTTTTTTTTTTTTTATTAAAATAATGATAAAGACAAAATAAATATCAAAAATAAATAATCAACTTGAACATAGTTTAAATTTACACACGAAAAAGTAGTCTCCCTGCAAGCAAGTCACAGTGGCTTGCACCTCGAAAATAATCCAAACAAAACCTTCGTAAAATAAAATTAAAACCAGCACCTTACATGCAAAAACAAACCACCGGAAATTACACTAAGAACTAGAATTAAAATATTACCAATAATATAACGAAACTAAAAAGACCAATCAACGAAAAAAAAAAAAAAAAAAGCAAAAGTATTTTTGGCGGTTTTCTTACGAGGTCGAGTATTTCCTCCATGTTTTCTAATCATTATGAGAAAACAAAAAACGAAGACTGAAAGCATAATACTTACAAAGTAAAAAAAGGAAACGTTGCAGCGGCAGCTTACAAACTAAATAAATCACTCACTAAGCGTACTTCTAGAAGAATGAAGCCGCCAAAGCATGAATGAACAATAATTATATTCAACAAAGACAAGACGGAATTTAAAACGCCATCTTGATTTTTCGAGAGGAACGACTGCAATAACATGAGTTAACTCCCTTGATTCTAGAACTCTTTAATTTGAAAATTAAAAAAAAATTGTCTACAGAGAGAAACAACAATATCAACTATAGAGTTCAAGGGAGACTAAAATAACATCATTTCACTTGCTTTTTTATTTATTTATTCATTTATCTAAATAAAAAGAAAGTCAACTCAATATTTGAACTGATTTTTATTTATTAAAGGAAATAAACAACATAGTCTTTTTTTCAGGTTTAATTCTCCACAGTAATTTAAAAACATTTTCCAAAATTTTCTATCCTGTAGTCATACTGTTTTTTTTTTATTTTGTAAATTTTATAAATTTACTATCTCTCTAGCAAAAAAAACAAAAAAACTCGCCGCTAAACTTTACTTAAATAACAACAAAGCCAACTTCATCGGAATTCATCCAGTTAGCTGGTTTATTTATTTTCTACATATTATTTTTTATAATCCTTTTTTTTTAGTTTTACTTTTAAATTAAAAGTTTCTTTTTTTTAGATGTCTGTCCCGCAATTATTTTTTTTAACCATTTGAACATGAAGGAGAAAAAAAATCACCGAGAGGAATGATGACGCCTTTTATCTTCCAAGTATTTAACTAACACACTATCTCAGCGTTCTTTCCCTTTTCGAAACAGCCTGCTATGTCTTCTTTCGGGATCGCCATCATCTGCTTCCTCACATTTTTTTTACATAATCTCGTCCATGGCGATTGCTAGCTCTGAGAAAAGCTGGAAGTCGCAGAAAGACATCTGCGCTGACAGATTTGGGTAATACAATGTTTTGAATAAGTAATCTACTCACTCAGGTCCCTTTAAAGGCAACGGTACGGATAACACAATGAATATACAAACTCATTCAATTTCAATCAATAGTGTCTCACTTCGGACTCCATAAACACAACAAGAGAGAGTCTACATTTTACATGTATGCGATCAACATTTTCGGAAGTTCTGCCTGTCAAAAGACCTTCCAGATCGAAAATCACATTCAGTGGATCCCAGCCAAGCTTGGTGTGGGATTATCTTTTCTGCCTGTTGACATCTCCTAATACCTGTTAGTGTGGTAATAAGCAGTATAAAAGAAAAAGGCTCACTCTCTCTCTCTTTTTCTTTTTGCTCCAGTATGCAATATTGCTATTCCAGGGGAGTTCATTTTCTCCAGGCAAGCCAACTACTTAATTTCAAATTTCAACCAAATCATGTGGTACATATCACTCACACACACACGCACGCACAGACGCGCACACACACACACACACAGCAGAAAAGTACATAAATGTTTTCCTTTCCATTTTTTGAGTTGTCTATCTGTACATATACAAGTATATTTTTCGCTCTTCTTAAACCATATTGTTCTAATTATATATATATATGCATGTTTCATTAAAAACGACAGACAAGGTACTACGGTTGAGCTTTTTATTTAATTTTTCTTGTGTTCTGACAAGAGCTTTCTTTTCTGGACAAAGGGTGTATATATATATATATATATATATATATATATTTAAACATATTATTAAATATAACAGACAATGAATGTCTATTATGTCTGATCATGAGCTGTACTAAAGTTCAAATGTTTGCTTTAATTTTGGGTGAAAATCAAGACAAAAATTGACCAAAATTTGGATATTTTTTTATTAAGTTGGTCCTAAGCATGTTGGACAAATTTTGTCTTTATTTTCACCTGAAATTAAAGCAAACATTCAAACATTAGAACAGCTCATGATCAGACATAATAGACATTCATTGTCTGTATATATAATAATATATGTTTAAATAATGATCTGCTGCCCAAATACACTATATATATATATATATATATATATATATATATATATATAATAATCCTATTCTATCCATAATACTTACATTAATTCCTGACTGCTGACAATCCCATTCTTGATTATCACAGCATTCCTATAATAAATATTTAGCAATTCATTTACACTATACATATAAAAGCCATATACTATCAGAAATGCTTTCTATAATTCTTGACCACTGACAATCCCTTTCTTCCTGATTTTCAATGCATTCCTATAGTAAAACTTTAGCAATCTATTTACATTATACACATAGACATAAATGCTCCGTTCTATCAGTAAGTGTTGTATTCATTCCTGACCACTGATATCCCTCTTCTTACTGATTTGCAAAATGAGTTGCAAAATTTTGGAAAGAAATCTTTAATTAAAATAGAAATTAAATTGTAAAATCCACTGTTTAATCATGATTTTGTCCCTGCCATCACCACCAGAAATATTTTGGTTGTTCAAACAAAAAATGTGTAAAGTTCAACTGGGGAGTGAGAGGGTCATTGTGAATTCAGTGGGCAGCAATTAGAAAGCTGAAAACTTGCCTTTGTATCCCAGCTACAAGTATAACCAACCAGAATCCAGTTGCATGCTTGCAATTACCTTTTTGCTGGGCTTACTGGACTAATGTGAATTAGTTGTAATTAATGACAATTAACACTGTATTAGTCATTTTGAATTTCCAAAAATGGATAGTCCCCTGGGGTGTTTACACACCCCAATACAAAAATGCTTCTAGTTTTACAATTATTTAAATTATAGTCATACTGCTGAAAAAATTACATAACATGCAATCTCCATTAAAATATACATTAAATCAAAACTTGAACTGAACATATAATTATTCATTGAAATAAAAATTAGAATAAATTTATTGCATAAATATATATTGCCAATTGTAGGTGAAACACACCAATACAATATTCATCAAAAATAGCAACAATATATTTCCATGAATAGAAAGACATTATACATATGTAATACACTTTTCCTTATATATATATGTGTGTGTGTGTGTGTGTAATGGATAGTGGCTTGGATTGAGAAATTGGAGAGCCAAGTTTGAATTTCAGTCAAGTTCGTTACATTTATTGACATATATATATAATAGCCCTATTCTATCCATAATACTTACATTAATTCCTGACTGCTGACAATCCCATTCTTGATTATCACAGCATTCCTATAATAAATATTTAGCAATCCGTTTACACTATACATATAAAAGCCATATACTATCAGAAATGCTTTCTATAATTCTTGACCACTGACCTTGGGAAAGGTATGAATCCATCTCTTCTGTCTGCTGCTATGGGTAAATAGAACAGACTAGATCCTATAGCCTTGGGTGGTGAACAGTCTAGAAGAAGGACAACACTTATTTCAAAACCTGTGGAGGATCATTTGGGGTTGATGGCTGATGCTGAACTCCAGGTGAGCCACACTTTACATCTTCTTGGCCTCAAGTTTTCCATTGACATGAAGTGGAGCGATTATATCAAGTTAATTTCTACATTTGCTGTAAGGAAGGTTGGTTCACTGTATCATAATAAAAAAATTTCAGAATTCATCTTGCACATTTAGAAATCCACCATTCATCCATGTACTGAATACTGTTGCTATATCTTCTCTTGACAAAATCCAGAGAAGAGTCTGCAATATAATCAGTCCCAACCAGGCATCTCATCTCCAGTCATTTCCTCACCAATGTGACATGGTTTCCCTCTGTCTGTTCTAAAAATATTTTCATAGTAACTGCTTGGACAAGCTTTTTTACCTGGTGCTCTAACTACATGAATTTAAACATGCTACTAGATTGGCAATTGGGTCTCACCACCTTACTGTTGAACTAGCTAGATATAACTGTTATTTCTACTCTAACAGTTTTTTTCTTGCACTTCCCACTTGTTGAACTCCCTTCTAATTTCTTGCTTCTCTGATAATTGTCACACTGTGGTTGTAAGGTGGTTAAACATAAATTCTGAGCAGAAAAGAGTTAAGCCAAAAATGAAATATAAACTGGAAGATAGAGACAGAAAGAGAGAATGGAAGACATTTTCTCTGGTAATGTGGAAGTGAAGAAAGGGCCATCTGAATTGTATCACCCTTACAAATTAGAACGATGCACTGCGTTTACTTATCTCTCAAAAATCTGGCATGTGGGCAAAGCATTTTGAGAATGGCTTTATCTCTTTCTTGAGAAATTAGGAAAACACTTGTCACTGGTGGGCAGAAAATCAGACAGGAATTATATCTTTGTTAGTGAGAATGAATTGAGAAATGAAAACAGAGAATGAAACAGCTGTGATGGTTAAGATTATGAAAATCACTCTGTCATAACAGATAGGTGATCTGGCCTATGTTTTCACTGAGATGGCAACCAGCCCAGGGATAGAAAACAGAGAGTCTCTTTGTTGAGAATTTAGGTAAACTAATATATTCTCATTGATGAAAACAAATTGGGATATAATTTTATCTCTCATTCGGAAAGTTAAATGAGAATGTATTTCTCTTAATAGCTTGGATTTACTATACAATTAAGGCTAGAATTATGAAAACAAGTTCTGTTATTGGTGGCCTGGTTTATATTTTTGCTGAACAAAGATAGTTCCAGGAAAATAGAAAAGAATCAGAGAATTAAAATTAATGACTAGAATAAAACTCTGCCCTTTCTCCTACACACTTTAAAAATTAAATTCATCCCAAAGACAGTTATGTCCTCCCTGAAAAGTGAAAAGAGTTAAATACCAAGAAGGAAGGAGGAAGGGGCAGAATTTGCTCTGCCTGTGTGGAGTAGCAGCGCAAGTTGTGAAGTGAAGCAAGTTGGAGTTTTTTTTATCAATAAAAAAAGTATGCAAGTATCTGTAGATTCCTATCAATAGATGATTTCTTAATAAATGGAGTTGGCTTATCAAGTCCTGATTTATATACATAATATATTCTTAGTTCTAAAAATTATTTATATTTACCAGTGAAATGCAATTGGTGTCTATTTACTGTGACTGGCAAAATAGCATTAGGGTCTACTTACTGTGACTGGCAAAATATCCTTGGTGTCTATTTACTGTAACTGGCAAAATATCCTTGGTGTCTATT